CGTGCATCAAGTGTGTCGTTGCGGATTTTAGTTCGACATTGGACTACCCAGAAAGGTTTGTCACACAGAGACGGAGGCGCGTTCCCACCGGCGATGCGATCTAGCCGCGCGATAACTTCCATCGCAAAAGCGACCATCGCGGGCAAAAAGCGACGCGATTGGAGCAGTCGCTTCTCGACTCAACTTTTTTGCGATGCGATCTAGTCGCGGAGCGGCTGAGCAAATCAACGGCGTTCGGAGCGAGAGTTTTCGACAAACGACTCGCCAACGAAGGCGTTGGACTCGCTTATCGCACACGCCGGTGTGACCATCTAATTTTTTTTGCGATGCGATCTAGTGGCATCGCGCGACTGCTTATATCGCCGGTGGGAATGCTCAGTTTTAGGGATTGAAATGACCATTTATTCTGACTGCGAGACTCCGGTGTTAAAAGCGTGGCTTCTACAAACTGTTAAGTTTCATTTTTAAAAGAAAAAAAGTGTTAGTATTTGGAGGTGTTGCGTTTGGATGAATGCACATTTTTTGCGCGAAGGCAAATTACGTAAATGGGACTTCTGGAATGTCAACAGATCGTTTTTGAGGAGATAGTTGGAAGAAGTCGAGTCAACACATTCGTTCACTCGCTTTCACACAACGCGTGAAGCTCTACCATGCAATGTCTTAACGTTCCTGGCACATTAAACAAATTCGCCAGTTTCGTCCGAGTTTCGTCAACACTTTCAGCCGTGCTGGGCTGAGTCTCGCCGATCCCCAAGACAAGCGAAATAGCATCCGTCCTCCTGGCGAACATTCCGTTTGCATTCGGGGACTAAATCATACAGATGCACCCTGTCTGAGGGGGACTAATGGATGCTTTTGCTCGCGCACGCCTATCGGTTGGTCCCAGTCGAGCGCAGTTAGTCCCCAGCTTTTGCGCACGGTACCTAGCTTGAGCCAGATGGTCCTTTCGAGGAGCAACTGGGAGTTCAGAGGACCAAATGCTGCCGTTAGTCCCTTGAGGTCAACTTTTTTCTTAGAGTGTATGCAGACAAGGCTGGCGGCGCGCATGCGCAGCTGCGGCGTTTTCTTCGGGGCTACCGTAGCGGAGGAGAAAAACGATCTACTACAACTCCCTATTAACCATTTTATATTTGCCTGCTCTGTCGTACGCATAACCTCTATCGCAGCGCGTTCACTGTTGAAAACGCGATGAGGTGACAACTCTTCCCAAGCATTGGCTTTCGTTTCGTTCTGCAAAAATCAATTCGCATACTGATGTTTTATTTTTTTTTTTTTTTTTTACATACCGATGCGTAAAACAATTTACGTCACAACCGTTATTTCATCACGTTGCGAGCGTAACTTTTGCTCAATCGTCCACCGTACGCTGTAAGATCGTGTTGTTTTTAATACATTACCAATGTCAAGAAATGTTAATTCCGTGACTGGTCTAAGAATGTCAGAGGCTCTGAACCCAGCAGTTGTGATCGGTTGAAAAGGATCCCGAGTAGCTCTGGCGGCGAGGAGGGGGCGCTCTGCTGAATCAAGGTCAGGGGAGAGAGGCGACAGTGGGGATCGGAGACAAGTTGGCATCACTCTGTAAACATTATCTTTTCATTGAAGCGGAACAAGGGGCGTTTCCAGTGAACTATTCTCTCGACCGCGGATGGATTTGAAACGGGCGCATCACGCTTATGGGAGGAGCTTCTACCTTCTTGGTAACCGACTAGCGGCGGATCCAACCTTCATGAGGGAAAGTGACCTTTCACGCGCCAAGTTTCGGTCAGAGTATGTTTCTCGCTCTGCATTTGCGAAATATAATACATCTTACCAGGCCCGTAGCCAAGGGGGAGGCTCTACGCCCCCCCCCCCCCCCCGATATTTTGATGGGGCGGGGGGGGGGGGGGGAGGGGGAGCTTTAGGACGGCTTCGCGGATGTCAAACAAAAGGCTCTAATTATTTTATTTTTTTTGCTTGCTTTTTACGAACGTAGATAGCTTTTTCGAGCTATCTCCGTGCACACGATGGCCCACCGGTTTACGTCCATAGCCTCCATATTTGAAACAGATGTAGTTTTCACATGCAAATCGAGGCTGGGAGACTTGTGCAAGACGGTAAGCCGAAAGGGACTCAATCCCGCCGCCCCGCTGCACCAAGAAACATGTTCACAGGCTCATCACGTGCAAGAGAGCAGAACCTTCCAGGCCTATGGTGCCTACATGTTTCCGCCGCTCCGCTCGGAAACATGTAGATAGATAGATAGATAGATAGATAGACAGACAGACAGACAGACAGACAGGCAGACAGGCGGGCGGGCAGGCAGGCAGGCAGGCAGGCAGGCGGGCAGGCGGGCAGGCGGGCAGGCAGGCAGGCAGGCAGGCAGGCAGGCAGGCAGGCAGGCGGGCAGGCGGGCAGGCGGGCATTTATTTGTACATGTAGGCACCCTATCCAGGCCCATGTCCTGCGGGCGGGAAGGTCGCGGCTGCGCTCCCAACTCACGTCGATGCTGGTAAACCTTCGTGAACGCGTCGGGAGGGAGATGATAGAAATAAGGCCTTCCCAATGGTGACGAGCCCGCAAATCCTAGGTTTATTGTCTCT